TCCATATAATTGGTCAAATGCATGTCGTTTGTTCGAATTGTGATCAGGAGGCATTCATATGATTGGCTAATTTATATTGAGATTTGTTTGATTATTACATGTATGGACTTGACTCAAGGACCAAGTCCTAATCGAAGTCCCTATTTACGAAGTCTGGACCGAAAGGATCAGACTTTTAACAACCCTACGATTGACTGGTTGATATCTAACACTTTATAACTTGCTCACGTGAAGTTAGAAACTTTTAATCAAAAAAACTAGATTTTTATTAGCTGTTTCGTTTTAAAATGCCAAAAATTTAATGTAATTTCTTTGTGTTACATACTGGCATTGTCAGGATCGCTTCTATTAAAAGTTGGTGGCAAAATAGATCTCACTTGATCTCTAACGTTTTTATAAAAGCTATATTTCTAAAAAAAAACAATTTAGCGAAATTTTAGGTAACCTTAATTATAAAAATTTTGACTTGTATCCAATTCGAATTAAATTTTCTATTGTAAACCCAAAAAAAGTTTGTGTAACAGTATTTTTCAATAGAAAATATACAACCAATAAAAACCAACTTCGATTATGCTAAATTATATTGTAAGAGCTTTATTGGTTTGTTTCTTTCTATGTTGATATGTTAGTCTATTCGGATTAAATTCAGATCCTTTTAAATTTAGCTAGTAAATTCGGATAAATATTGATTGCAATTAAACAGCTAAGAGATAACAAAATTTTACATTAAATTGGGGTGGTAAATCAACTAAGTAAATCAAACCTATGTGAGCATACTATAGAATTTGATATATTACAGATTTTTCATGTTACACAAATAAAAATCAATTTAATTATTGCCATATTACATATACGTAATTCTTACTATATTATATACATATTAATTTAATATATATTATTAATGTTAATATACATTTGATTATAAAATTACTATTAGCCAAATAAATTTTCAAATAATTTATTTGCTTTCACATTCAACATCATTATTGAAATTGTCTTGACTTAAATTTGGCTTAGATAAAGATTTTGCTTGTTGCCTTTTCTTTGCTCTAAATTCCACCAAATCCAAAGAATTATAGCTAATTTCCAAGAGTGGCATATTTAATAATCATAATTTTGATTGCTGAAGGTTAGTTGTCATATTTGAGTAGATCTTAAGATCTCATTTATTGAAAACACCTTCAACTTGTTGTTGGTGTATTATGATATACCAGATTCGATATTTAACAAACTCAAATATTTTGGGAAACTGGTTTAAAAATTTTTGCTTTTCCTGAATAAAACCAAGAAATTCATGATTAAATGTAGGATTATTTAATGCATCTG